GCAACCTTGCTTGATGGTTTCACATATAGCAAAAGACTATACATGAGCACTTATGTATCAGACATAAACACAGAAAACCGAACCAAGAAGCAAGGAAAGAAAAAAACAAAAATGAGGATGAGAGAGAAGAGAAACTGATCCACCCAAAGGATCGAAGGAAAAATGGTAAAGCAATTCTCAATAATCATATTAAAAAGACCTAAAAAATAGAGCCTAAGGTCCTCGAATCAATCCCAGAATGATATCATTTTCTCACATTTATATAATTAAATCAATCCTAAAAGGGGTATCCTTTCCAAATGACAATTTTATGAATTTCCAAACCCCTTTATGAATTCAATTTATATCAAATTCATAATTTATCAAAATAAAGTTTCAAGAAATCTTCATATGTCATAAAACAAGAAAGACTAATCCATAAAGAATAATATTTTTTTTAAATCTCCAAAAACTATGCCAATACCAATCCCATTCAACTTTATCTTTAATCAAAAGCTTTTTTCCCTTTTCTTTTATATCTCATTAAAATGAAATTATTCTTGTAAATATCCATGATCAAGGCAATAGAAAGAGACAATCACCAACTTAATTTATTCCACTAAGAGTTCACAAGTTAAAGCTTACGGGTAAAGCAATAAGGGAGGGGAGAGCTCACGGGTAAGGCAATAGGAATCACAACCAAGCTCCAAATTCAGCTCACGGGTATGAGCCAAAAGAGAGGAGAACTCACGGGTAAAGCAACAAGAAGAGGAGAGCTCACGGGTAAGGCAACCGGGCTCACATCCAAAACCCAATTAGCTCACGGGTAGGACCAAAAAAGGAGGAAAGCTCACGGGTAAAACAACAGAAAAGGAGAGCCCACGAGTAAGACAACAAGAATCACAACCAAGCTCCCAATTAGCTTACGGGTAAGACAACAAGAATCACATCCAAGCTCCAAATCCAGCTCACGGGTAAAGCCAAAAGAGAAGGGAGACCTCCAACCAAGCCATGCCCAGCAAAAATATCAAATTAAATCCAAGGGATAATTCTAAGCAGAAAGAGATTTCAGCCAAAATATAATACCAAAATAAGCTTAAACTGAACCCACCAAAGGGGTAAACTAAGCCCAAAGAAATAGTCCAAACATATAAGAAATTTTAGCCAACATAACTCACCAAAAGGAGCACAAACTGAGCCTAGTAAAAGGCCAACCCGAACCCAGCAGAAAGGGAAAACCGAGCCCCATGCATAGAAAACCAAGCCCCATGCATAATACAAACCAATTTCAGGCAAGAGTGAGACTAAACTCCAGGAATAATTTTAACAATGAGGGATTTCAACTCGAGTACAACCTCAAAAGAAGCCCAGCCAAGTCCAACATAAGGAACAAACCAAGCCAGCATACGGACTAACCAAGCCAGCACAGGGGCAAAACTAAGTTAGTACAAAGGGCAAAAACATAGCAGCATAAAGGCTAAACCGAGCAACATATGGGTAGAAACCGAGCTAGCACAGGGGGCCAAAACTTAACAGCATAGAGGCTAAATCGAGCCCAACACAGGGGGCCAAACCGAGTTGGCATAAGGATAAACTGAGCCCAACACAAAGGGGCAAACCAGAAAATAACATTCAGTATTTACCCATCTCAAAAGAACAAGAACCGAGCCCAAATAAGGGGGGCCAAAATCGAGCAGCAAAGGGGCAAAACTCAGCCCAACACAGGGGTAAAACCGAAACCATATCCACCATAAAAAACAAACTTTGAAATCAAATTCCAGTCATTTATACGTTTTAAAATGATCCAAAACCAAGCTCGGCTTATGGGCAAAAATAAGAACAATGATTCCAGCATTTATCCAGCCCTGCACAACTAAAACCGAGCCCAAGATGGACAACACCGAACAACATAAAGGCTAAACCGAGCCCCAAGATAAGAGGGTTCCAGCTTTTGTATCAAATAGTGATAGGCAATAGGTAAACATGAATAAATCCTTTTAAAGCCAACATTTTCCAACATTTATTCTAAGCATGAATAATAATAATAAAAGCTTTGATAATTTCATCTAACATGCATTTCTAGAGGAATAAATCTCTTCTCAAAACTACCATTATGATACTTCCAAATATCTCAAGCAAGAGAAATAAAGGCAGCCTATACATGCTCTATTCAGATTTTTCTAGGAACTATTCATGCTTAAATTTCAAGAAGCAAACCCAAATCTTGCTTTCACATGAGATAGGAAGTACGTTCATGCCATCTAAAATAGTGCCAAGTAGAGGAGAGAAAGAGAATACATTTTTAATGCAGATTTAAAGAAAAATACTAAAATAAATTGAAAGAAACACCCCTCACAACAATCCTTCCCGAAAGCCTCATGCAAATAGCCCCACGGCTTCTAGCTCCCGGCTCTTTAACCACAAGAGTATCGGCTAACAGAGAGGAAGAAGAACTCCCCTCGAATAACAAATCAGAAAGAAATAGCTTTCCCCCACAAAAAAAAGAATCCAAGCCTTCTTCTCTGAAAAACCCTCCCGTTCTCTCTCAAAAATTTCAACAACCCAACACAGTAGATTAGGAAATCGTTTTATAGGCAGAGAGGAGAGGAGAAAGAGCCACCAACCAGCCTCACTAGCAACGAATCACACAATGGGGTAGTAAATGCCACAGTAAAGAAGGAGACAGTAAAGCCTCGAGAAGGAGAAAGGTCGGCCAGTTTGCTTCCCGCAATTTGAGAGCCGAAAAGCCAAGGGGAAGCTCGAGGAGGCAAGCCGTGTATGCGAATCGACAGAAGAAGACTCGAGGAGATGAGCCACGAGCAAGAACGACAAGGAGAGCCGCGTGGATCCATCGTGGATCTAGGGCACACGGAGGAGAGGGAGACGAGCCTCGGGATCGAGCGGAACGCAAGGCCGAATGAGGGTTTAAGCATGCGGGTAGATGTGTAAATAGGATTTAGGTTTAATATAATTATAATTTAAGGGTATTTATATAAAAGAAAGTATTTAATATTTTGAAAAATAAAATTTTAATTTGTGTTTTATTCGTGCGTTGAAACATAACAAAATTAGTATCATTTTTAAGTACTTATGACGTTCTGAATGCGCTGGCGAGGTCCGTTTTGTCGTCAGAGGTTATTTTGACGAATTTATCGATTTGCGTGCCAATTTTCTTGTGTCGGAAATATGAAAAAATGGGTGTCTTTACTTATCACATTTGGTGTCTCGGACGCGTTGGCAGAGTCCATTTTGTCGTCGGAGGTCGGCCGGGGAAGTTCACCGGAGAAGTTCACATTTTCACCTTCACATTTTCACCCGTCCTTTAAGCATAACTGAAGTCCGACCTCGTGCAATTTTGTGAATTTTGTGCATTTGTGTATGTTATGTGACGATAAAGTCCTGACGAGGTTTTCCTAGGACTTGAAATCCTATTGGGAACTTCTCCCTGAGTCTCCACACAATAGCCTTTAACTGCTTGTCCATAAGATGATAGTTTTGAGACCATAAATGCTAGACATCACAGGAAAATAAGAAATGACTGGAATTTCTAAAAAGGGTGGGTCTCAATTCTAGTTTTCTAGGATAGTCAATAAAAACCGCTAGAGCTAGATCCTAGGATGCTAAGGAAAGGAGTAATGACCTTAAAAATGAGGTCAACAAGGCTCATTACATTGAGGATTTACCATGTCTCTCTAGATCTCTCTCTCTACAAGATCTCTCCCTCAATTCTAAAACCTCTCCACTTCTTCTCCTTGCTGAATTTTCTTCCTCTTGATTTTCTTGATCAGATTTTTCTATCTCCTTATGGTGGTGATGCCAACCCCACAAGACCCCTCATCTATTTATAGATAGATGAGGCTTTCCAACAGGCATGAAAATTACAAGTGTGTCATTTATGTCATAATTAAGAGCCATGAATAAACAACAAGAACACCTAAAATCTTGAGAAATCACCAATAAAAATCTCATGATTCAAGGCTAGACGGCGTATATCCTCACCAAATCTCTCCCAGCCAAATTTCATCAACTTCTCACTTCCAATTCTTAGATTGTTAAGGGGAGGCAATAGAAGCATCTAAGAAGTTCACGTGGTCACAATAGCATTCCCGCAAGCACATGGACACCTGTGCTTCCCGCAACAAAAAACCTCATCACTATTGATATAAAACCCACACACTATATCCTAGCCGTAGATTCAATATAGTAGAATTACACTTATGACTTGTACATCCTATTTAAACCATCACATTGTAAACACCTCCGTAGCAGAATGAATACAAAAATATTAAATATCTATTTATGCATTTAGATCTTTATTCCTCAGATTTTGTACAGTATGCATGCCTTGTTTAAGGCTGACACCTCATTCTGAGCTTTGTTGATTGTCCAATTAGGTGAATTGAATAAAATTATGCTTTAGCGCAATCTTTTTAAATTGATTTGAGATGTGTGCATCATGTCAAAAGTTGTGCTTCATGAAAGAGAAATGAGACAATTGCCAAAATTGTTCCCTGCTCTTTGTAGGGTTATATTTTAGTCTCAAATCCTATAAAAGTACTAATCTAGTATCAGAATCTTTTAATGGAGGCTAAAATAATTATTCCTGAGAACTATTTTAACTTATATTAAAAGAGTCTAGAGACCAATTTAACACTTTTAAATACTGTAGGAATAAAATGACCACATCTAAATAGTCAATAGACTATTTTTGACATGTTACTAAAAGATAAATTTTACAATCCCAACAAAAGTATTACTCTTAATGTCCTATCTTCTTCTCTGCCCCCTCATCTCAATTTTCAAAAAACAAGAAATATTCTTCTCATGATTCTGCCTCTACCCAAATTTTATGGTTTCTCTCTTCTCCCAAACCACTCCCTTCTTCCTTTACAATTGCCTCTCTAAACCCAACTCAAAACCCCCTTATTCAAAAGACTAAATTCAAGAGGAAAACAATCCATTCAAAGGCAAATTTGAAAGAAAAAGAGTGTTTATGTATTTAGTTATGAAAAGATACTCACAAATCCCCAACCAATTCTCATGAATTCCGAGCCAGCTAACGCAAAGTTGCACTTTATCGACAAAAATAGCTCAATGTACGGGCGCTCGTCCACCACAGCGACAACTCCTCCTCTACTCGGTCCGAGTTCGAGTGCTCTCACATATTCATCTAGGTTGTGAAGAACTCTCAATCTTGAGCTTGATATTCGAAGCTCTTCGATCAGATATTTCTCAGCGAATGAACCGACCTGATAACCAATGGGATCGTTGCTGTTTATTATAGTATCAATTCCAGTTATAGGTGATGTGAGTTGCCGGACAGTCAGGATCGAAGTCAGGCTGGCCGTATAGCTAGATTGCACTATGAAAACCACAAACAGCCATATTATGAGAACAAGGCGGCCTAAAGTACTGACAGTTGGTTCTCCTGAAAAAGTAAGAAGAAGAGAGAATTGCACGTCAGCAAGAATTTAAGACTTTTTTTTTAAATGGGAAACTTACGTATGTAGCAGACAATTCTTATGTATTTACATATTTCACCGAACTTTCATATTTACATAACATGTTGGTGCCTTAATCCTATGCATGAAAAAAGTGTATTTCAGTTTTAGAAAATGATAATAGTGATATTTTTATGTGTGTGATGTATGTGATGTTAAAGATTTGAGTGCTATGTGTGTAAATATGAAAGTTTAGGTGTGAGATACATAAATACATAAGAATTATGTGCTATGTATTTAAATGTCCCCTTTTAATTGAAGATAACATGTTAAAAATAATTTATAATGCCAACTCACTATGGGCAAAAAACAAAGTTGAGAAGCTAAACCTGCAACAGAGAGAATACTTGCACAGGTTAGATGTTGTAAGTACTGTAATTCAAAATAAATAATAATAATTTTCAAATACTAGTCTGAAAAATATGCATGTTTTTGAAAAATGGAAACTTGTATCACATTGAACATAAAATTGAAAAAAGCGGAAAGAAAAGGGCAACACATTTAGAAGGGAAATGCTCCAGTACTTTAGGAACTCAATATTGAACTGCATACACTTTGAATTTGCAACAGATTAATCATCATTGATTTATTTTCATATTTTGTTAAATTCATTGCACTTCATGTAGGGGATCTTCAGTCCTCATAAAATAAATAAACATTGACAAGTAATCAATATTGAAATATACCATTGAATTTGGAAAACGATGTTATTAATTTCATAATCATCAATATAAAGTAGCAATGGCAATTTTCTTTGGAGAATAATGATAGAAAACTAAGCAGCTGAAATGATAAATTGCCATTTCTGGCCTTTCAACCGTTCAGAATAATAATAAAAATATTAAAAATTACATTTTAAGAAGATATTTAAGTTCAATAGAGGCGTTCCCTAAGTTTATCTGAAGCTTACTATTAAGTATCAAGGTATGTTGAATTTGGCTGAATTTCAGGATATCAGGAAGACGAAAAAGAGCACATCCAGTTGTGAAGAAAAAGAATGGTCTTGGAATAGAATGAAAAAGAGAATCAGGTTTCACTATGCAAATGCTTTATCAAAGTGGCCCTTATTGGAATAGTATATTCAATTTTATCTCCTTCGTTTCAAATGTAAAATAAACCTATTAAAAAGTAGCCTATCAAGCCCCAACAACTCTAAATGGACGCAATGAAGGGTTAGACACTTTATTTTTGTAAGTTTTTAACAAAACTATGACATCTATTGCTACTTCTTGAACAAATTTTCGATACATATTATATAATATTCTAAGTTAATTCTAGTAAAAGTGTGAATGTTGAGATGATTGATTGTGTACCATGATTGTGAACCAAAATTATGAATAATTATTGTTGTGCTGGTAAATTTGCAGCCGTCAATTTGTATATTAACGTTTTAGTGTTGTTCGATGATCCGACATACACGCAAGTAAACAAAATTAATGGAAAAGATAGTAGAAGTTTTTGCGTGAAAAATCTGAAAGGGTAAAAACCACGAGACATGACCCAGTCTAAATGATTGCACTATGCTGATGTAACTTACAAGCTTTACTGGCCCTTGAATAGTCAGAAGTAATATTACACGAGAAGGGCATGAATTTCACAAGGGAAGTGACATAAAACAATAAAGAAGTGGTGGAAACCCGGCTATTGTGAAGACAAGCTGACGGTAGAGGTTGAGTATCAAAAAATCTAGTGCTACCGTCGACGATGATGGCCAGGAAGTAGAGGTCTTACGGCTACGACGTGATAGTTTAGCGACAACGGTTGTGGTTTGGTTTCAACAGCGGTGGAGGCTAAGCAACATTGGTTCGGTGGCAGCGACAGTCAAATGCTAGTGGTCCGATTGCGGCGACTGTGGTCCGACGATGTCAGTGGCTGATAGTGGCAGCTGCTCCGTCGACAGGGGAACAATACTCCAACAATAATGGTTGTGGTTGAACGACGTTGATTGGGCGATGATGGTCTACAGTAATATCTGGAGATGGTGATCCAGCAATGTTAGCAACAACATTGTTAGTTAGCAGATTACGGTGGGGGTTGGAGGTGTCATCAGGTGATGGTTATTCGATGACGATGGCGGTGGCCATGCGACTATGGTTTGGCTATAACAGAAGTGTCAATCGAGAAATAGTAGCCCCCAAAGTAGATTAAATCATTATATATCTTGAAGAATGACGATTAATGCTAGATGATGATGGCGGTCGCCGCCCCTTCCCTCAACATATTCTACCACTCCTCTAGCGGAAGTTACGTCGATAAGCTTAATTGTGCAATATTGCTTTCAGCTAGCCCAAAGCTGATTAAGTCTTGTAACATATATCAACATGGTGGAACTATTTCAACAAGGCTAAGTCCCCTGGTTTTTACCTTTCAAGTTTTCCACGCAAAAACTGTTGAGAAATTTAGGGCGAAGAAAAATAAGAATCGGCACAAATCCAGAAGAACACACAGAGATTTAACGAGGTTCGACAAAGATGCATACGTCCTCGGGAGCAGAGCGGCGAATTTACTATTTCAAAGGAGTCCATTACATACCCATAGGGTTACACATCATATATATAGATAAAACTCACAGATAAAATTACTCACACGCCCTCGCTTCCCCCAACCCACTAAATTCCAAGAGACACCTCTTCAATTCCAAGAGACACTCCTCTTCGTTCCAGGAGATACATCTCTTCAATTCCAAGAGACTCCAAATTCTGGTATATGAGTCATACCTAATAAATCTTCACCTTGGCGAATATCCAGCCACTTAGGAGAAATACATATACCTAACAAATCTCCACCTTGACGAATATCCAGCCTCTTAATAGGAATACATCATGGAGTTTCTTATACCGAATTGGGTTGGGCAATCATGTCGTCTAATAATTGCAAACATTCAACAAGTTCAAGCAATGCAAGAACTTGTTGATAGTATCTGGCTTGGTTAACATATCTGCTACATTTTCATCATATGATTAAACAAAGTGAACTTCACCAACAACTGTACTCCCCAACAGTTTATAGATATTACCTGCAGTAATCTTTCCTTTCATCACAGTCAATTCATCTATAACAATTCTATGTAAAATGCCCAAGGAAATTAAATTCATCTTTAAATCTGAAATATGTCTTACATAACATAATGTTCTGACAGTGTCGTCATACATCTTAATTCTGAATTTGTTAATACCAGCAATATTGTAACATCTATCATCACCCAAATAGACTGAACCCGAATCTTATAACATGTATAAAGTAAATCATTCTCTGTTAGGTGTTATGTGATAAGAGCATCCTGAATTAAGAATCCATGTATCCTTCAATTGAGTTGTTGTTACTGAAAGTGCATCACCATCACTGTAATTTGTAATGTCACTCTGCACCATATTCATGGACTTGGAAGATACATTATGTTTCTCATCAAACTGCTTCTTGAGTTGTTGTAACTGAAAGTCCATCACCATCACTGTAATCTATAATGTCACTCTGCACCATATTTATGAACTTGGAAGATACATCATGTTTCTTATCAAACTGCTTCTTGAGCGTTGAACAATCTCTCTTCATATGTCCCAGCTCCTTGCACTTGTAGCAATAAATCGCCTTTCTGTCTTTCGGCTTTGACCTGAAATTTCGCATTCTAGAACTCCCCTTCTCCTTCCTTCCACAATCCTGATTGCCCTTAGCATATAAACAATTATCATGAGAGATTTCCCCTGCATTCAGATTCTGCTGGTTGTGAGTCATCAATGTTGCAGTAATCTCATCAAATTTGATTGTTTTTTTCTCATATGTAAAAGTAGTCACCAGATGTTCATAGGAGGAAGAAAATGAGCACAACAGAATCATTGTTCGGTCTTCATCCTCAATACTCATATCATTAAACTAGTTGATAAAAGTAGTTTACTTTTGTATTGGATCTTCGTACAACACTGAGACGTTAATATATTACTATATCTCCACGAATTTACTAGCAGAAAACAATTATATTAGAGGAATTCAATTGGAGTGATATCCATTGAGGACAAGATAATTAAAAAAAAAAATCTTCGAAGATTTTAACATGCAGACTAAAAGGCAGAAAATGCACCATTAAACTAATCGATAAAATTAGTACTAGAATGAGAGGGTTTCGTCTTGAAGCAGCATATTAAAAAGTTACTCAAAATGATTTAGAAATAATAAATTTAAAAACTCAGACAGCACTCAGCAGAAAATGAGGATAAATGGGATAATTCGATTAATGATAACTAATTGATTATACTTATAAGCTAATACTAAAGAAAAAAATGAATTCAAAGGAAATAGATCAAATAGCAATTCAAATTGAATCCAGCATGTGAGGTGTAGAGCTCAAATGTTCAGTATAGAATATTTACTTTGAAATGGAAAATAATTCATACATTTGTGTCAACTAAAAATGGAAATAATATGAAAATAACTAGGAGAAAGGTACAAAATTCAGAAAAGCTTAAGGTTGTACAATTGAATTTCAACGAGCTGCAAAGCAAATAGAATGTTTGGTTGGCTATAAATTTGATACATTATCTCCGCAACAAAGAATCATAAAACCTGATTCTATCTAAAAATGCATGCAAAATTACAATCAAATTGACCTAAATTACATAGCACAAGTTGTGCAAGCAAAGCTCTTTTCATTTGACTCCATGATTATTAAACTTGAAATTTTCCTATTAGTTTGCCATGTACTAAAATGCGCGACCGATAACTTTACACTCCTAGCATAACTTCATTAATGCATCAATTACTTGGTATAATCATCAGTCATCATCACCAAGAACTTTATTACCCACCATAATAATGATTTCACATAGATATCCTTGGATCTAAACCATCCCCAATTAAATTCGCTCCAATCATCCACTCACACAAAACTATGCCATATGATCTAATAGTGAGTAATTATCGATACACATTCGTGGAAGTAAAATGAAACTTTCAACTAAACTTAAATTGTTTAACGAACCAGAAAATGGTAATGATTTGTTTCCTTGGAGGACCACGAAATTCATCATTGATTCGATGCTCAAGTATCCATATCACAGCTCCTACAAAAATGAAAAATAATCCCGTGACACACCACATCTCCACTGTAAATGGCTGCAAGAAAGCCCAAGCGCTTGATTCACGTTCCTTCACAGAAGTTAGTATGACAAGCCCAGCTTCAATAAAGGGCTGCGTAAAATCTGCAATCCTCGCCCGATCCATAGTAATCGCAATATCCCCTACGGCAGCATCAAAATCCTATAAGACGAAAACCAAAAGAACAAAACTAACTCAGTTTTTCGCCTCAGCATTCATACAAGTCTATTATTATCCTCTTGAAAACTCACATTTGCCTGAACTTTCTCAACAAGCTCTGTGTAATTTGGATTTACACTTCCAATCCCAAAAGGTATGAATCTGTAAGCAACAGGATAAGGCAAAAGATTTATTGCAGCAGTAAACACATCTATGCAGTAACCCTTCATTGTATCAGAACCTCTGTCCTTAGAGACAAATTCTGGGAAGCTATGTCGATTTGGCACTCCAATTCTCAACTCCAGCCCATTATTAGGGAACACCCACCCGCGGGGCTTTATTGCTGTCTGACCCGGCCATATAACATCGTATAGTTTTTGATTTATGCTGGACCGATTTGGCGGCTTGAGGTACAGTATTTCAGGAGTCTCAGTAGACAAACCAGAATAGTTTGACCAGTATCCTATGCTCCTTGATCCAGTTCCCACAATGTTAAGGATATCATAAGCAGGATGAATAATATTTCCATCAGAATCAAGCTGGAAATGGCCAGTAACACCATCAAAAACTGAACTTTTTATCTTCTCCAGCAAAAGATTTCCCTCGCCAAACACGCTTAGTGCTTCGAGGTTCAGAACTCCATCATCAACATCTTCCAATCTCGAATCATTATAAAATGAAATGGCTCCACCATCATCAAAAAAAGTATCCAATGCATGTGCTACCATCCACACTGAATCATAAGCATATAGGCCATATGAATTGAGTCTAAAATTTACAGCTTTATCGTCATTTTCAAACTTGCTCCACTTCGAAAGAAGACTCTTTTTCCTTTCTGTGTCTGCCGTATGTTGTCTTAGGGAAAGCACACCTTCCATGGTAAGCATGATTTCAGAATTTAGAGGGGAAGATGAATCTAAGAGAGAAGAAAGCCAGTCTGTAGCTATCCAAGCATATCCTTTTATCATCATTCCCAGATAATGAGCCACTGATAAAACTTTGATGCCGGAGTCCGGATTCGTGTGAAGAATGATTACCCGAGACTCCATTAGAGCCACTTTCACAAGCAAATCTGAAATTCTGCTCCTTTCGGGTTCCGGCGGCAAGGCGGCCTTGTAAGAGATCTTATAATTCCTTTCTGCGAGCTCATCGCTCAATGCAGCCACCCCATTTCTTCCATAGTCGTCATCTACAAAGATGACAATAACCTCCCTCCACTGAAAATAATCAACCAAATCAGCAATGGCAGCCATTTGAAATTTATCACTCTGTGTTGTTCTGACAAAGAATGGATACTGGAGAGAAGAAAGAGTGGGATCAGTAGCTGAAAATGAGAGCATTGGAACTTTGAGCTCATTCGCAACATGTGTGACAACATGAGCAACCACAGATGACTGTGGGCCAATTATTGCCACAATATCAGTCTCCATGAACTGCAAAACTGTAATTAGAATTCAGTCCCATAAGAACAAAATATACATTTAGATTATAAATGTGTATAAATTGAATGGTGGAAGAAAGTGGGATTCTGATACCTTGGACAATAGCGACGAATGCATTACAGTTTGAGTCTTGCTGATGCACCACCAGTCTTGTCCCTCGAAGAACAGATGGGTCAGAGTTAACGTCCTTCACTGCAACATTAATGGCGACCCTAGCAACCCTACCGATAGTTGAGTTCAAAGCTAAAATCGCCCCTATGTTTACAGTAGCAGGCCTTGAATAATTGTTCTTGCAGACTCCAGTTTCCCACAGGTAAGAACAGATGAAAAGAAAAATAAGCAGAACCAGCTTCATACTGTAATCACTGCCATGAAATTTAAAAATGTTTAATAAAAACTGCAGGCGGAGTACTAATGGATAAGAATCAAGGAAATCTTATTAAACTGTAAAACCCATAAAATCTCTTTAGCAGGAGTGGCGAAATACCAATATTTAATCGAGAAAAAGACACAACCCTTCATCCCCTCAAAACCCTAATCCTAAACCCAGAATCTTTTGGTGATGATACTGGAAAAGGAGGGGAGAGCTCAAAAAGCAAAAGTAAAAGAAGACATGATCTTAAAACATAAAAGTTTGTCCATTCACCATTGAAGAGGTCTGAGGATACTGAGTTTAAGGTGAAAGTGAAAGAACAAAACTCACCTGCATAAGAGTGACAAAAGGATGGAGGTTTTAAGTACCGGAAAACTTGTCGTTTGAAGCTGAAGCTGGCCCCGATGAATCTGTAGCAGAGGGAGGGAGAGGAACAGGAGCGATAGAGCCTCGTGTTGAGTAATTCTTTGAGGATTTTGAGAGGTGGAAAGGAATTGGGAGCAAATGAGAGGCGAATCACAGAGAGCACATTTAAGACGTGATTCTTGCTTTAGGTGGTGAAGGAAGGAACCAGGAGATGAAGATGTAGTCAGTGAGGGAACTTTCACATTAAGGCCCTGTAATTTCAAAGTTTGATTTTTTTGAAAGGATTAAAAAGAAGAAGGGATATTTGCATACAGATCCTCCCAAACATTAATATTTACAAATAAATCATATATGTGACTTTTTTGAACGAGGGTGGTTTTGCAATTAATTTTGATATTTGAGTTAGAATTTCAAAAATGGATGAAAAAAAATGCTAGATTTATAAATAGCAAGTTTGTTTGGGGTGGTCTGTCTGTAATTAGGGCTGTCAAAATGGCGCGAACAACTTCATTAAGAAACTCTTGTTTGACTCGTTTGCAGTTAACAAACCTAACACAAATATTTTTTTGTGTTTATAAATTGGCGGACATGAACTAAGATTTGTTCATTCGTGTTTGCTCATTTTGGCTCGAAATACTATATATCTATATATTGATGAGTACTATTTTTAAAAAAAGTTATTTGACTACAATGCTACAAAGATTTATAATCAATTATAATTTTTAGTTAAAAAATAGAATAAAAATATTAAATTATTTTTATACGATATTTTAATATAAACAATAAGAGTTAAATCTTGTCTCAACCCTTAATATCCTACGGTTGAGTGATTTGGGTTGTCAAAAAGACTCATTGTTTGACGAGCCGAACACAAACACATTTTTTGTGTTTGAAATATAAACGAGTCAAACGTGAACAGTGATATTTTTTAACAAGTCGAGCACGAGCTGAGCCTGACCTGCTTGCATTCGGCTCGTTTACACCCCTATCTATAATTGCCCCTCAATATTAACATGCTAAATATTAAAAAAATGTTTAAATAAAATTCGGCTCTAATTTAATTTAAGCACAAACAGTTTTTATAGGGGCATTTACGTAAATACGGCAAAGTACTTTTGCATTATATATCTAACACTTAAATTTTCATATTTATAAGCATAACACTCAAATATCATCATTAAAGTGTTAGATGTGTGATATACACATTTTTATACATAGATATGATATATTAAAGTGTTATAAGTGTAAATATCGAATTTAGGTGTTAGATATGTAAATACATAAGAATTGTGTGGTATATCCGTAAATATGTAAACTTTTCCTTTTTTTAATCTTAATAGATAGAGACCACCCAAAACTTTCTATTTACAAATCTATCACTTTCTTTACTCTATTTTTCAAAATCTTTACTCAAATATCAAAATTCATGGTAAAACCCCGGCCCTTATATTTCATTTTTATAAAATTCTTAATAGTTTGGTCATGACACGCGTAAATACATCAGTTCGGTAGTTCAAAAAAAAACTATCGTATTTTTATTTCATATGAAATAAATTAAAAAAAAAATAAAAAATCTTTACTCAAATATCAAAATTCATGGTAAAACTTTCTATTTACAAATCTATTGATTGAAATAAATAGAGGATTCATGAAATCAAATCGATATTATGTGAATAATATATGCGATTTGTAATGGTTGTTTTTACCCAAATTTCAGTAAACAATTAAATTTCGACTTTTTTCATAACCGAACCGTTTAAATCAAATTAATTTTTTGCTCGGACGGTTAGACTTTATTTAAATTTAAGATAGTTTAGGTTTTCTGGATTATGGATTTCAGTCAAAATCGGTTTGACCAATTTTAAAACCGGTCCATCCGAACCGACCAAATGCACACCCTATTTAAGGGAATATTGATTTGGGACCCAACATTTTTTGCATGTATATTGAAGACTCTTTACATCTTTTGAGATTGCAGGTTAATTGATTTATTTTGGTTCCTCCGCCGCAATGTGTTATGACACCGACCAATGATTCTTTTAAGATAGTTGGGAAGACTGACATTCTCTCTGCCCCCTAATGAGAGTTGATACTGGGAGGCTGCCAAAATTTCGGGTGAATTTGAACTTATAAATAAGTTTAAATTTTGAAATTTTTGAGCTTATAAAATAAAAATAAAATGTAAATCATTTGATTTTAAAATAATTTGAAATTTTTAGCTTTTAAAATATAGGCTACGAGAATTTAAAAAGTATTAAAATCTCGAGCTTTTGAGATTTAAACTCTTTTGGCTTAAAAATATTTTCAAGTTTGGGCTTTCAAATTTAGGGGCATAGGGTTTAAAAATAATTCAAACTTAGAAATTCTGAAATTTTAAATCCTTGCCATCGGATTAACAACATACCTGCTAGCAAATAGAACGCGGTAAAATGCTTAAAATGAAAACCTATATGCATGCTTTTTAATTAATCCATGTCTTAAATCAGAAAAATTGTCTTAAGCCACAAAATGTTCCAACTAAATAACTCAAATGTATGAAAATTGAAAGCTCGTATATGCTCTAATTAATATATTGAATGCTCAAATATTTGGTTCGAGAATGTTGCGTGGGCTAATCGAGTCATCTTGCCTATAGAATATGGTTATAAGTCTCACCCAGTTTAATAATTTAGAAATAAACGTCCAAATATTAAAATAAAAAAATTTACAAGTCCAAGTCACTTATTTTGATCCTCCACTCATGAAGACTAGAGTTGATGAGTCTAATACTTGCGGAATAATTGTCTAAACCCTAAAATAAAAATTTATAAGTTCAAATCACCTAGTTTGATTCTCTTTGTAAGGACATGAGTCGACATGACTCATAAGCTAAAAGTTTAAATCAACAAAACTAAATACCCCTTTCAAATACAAATGTTTAAAATGCTTAGATCCCTAATGATGGCCTTATTGATCAAATATTTCAACGAAATGGGTCAATCTTTTAAATCAATATTTCAATGTAATCAACGAAAATACTCAAGCTAAAATTAAACCACTTAAGACTTAAAGCAAACCACATCCACCATCTGCAACAGTTTCTTCAGCGTGATAAACTTTTGATTGACTTCAGCTCACAAAGAGCTAATGCCATATTAATTGCATCCATATATTTGCAATTAGAGTAATTGCATGCCAATAAGGACGTAACCCGAGACTTCTGTCCGCGTGGTTCTGTAATCAAATGACATCATAAAGTAGCTGTTATGACCAGAGCCCTCTAACCGGGTGGTTGCCCCAAATGACACCATTATATTATGATTACGATTACAACATATATATTCTATAACGACTTTCTATCATTTAAGTTTTGAATCATAATGATATAATTGATTGACAAAATTTTTTATTAGTAGATCTACAAAGATTTCTTGGACGACATAACCCATAACTGCTGACAAGGATCCTTCAATTAGGTTGAGTCCACTATCATCTCTGGCTAAGTAGATCATGGATCATGAGAACCCAAGATGACGTAACCAAATGATCTTGATCAGGTTTCCTTCATTCTCCCAACATTAGCTTTAAGCTTTAAGTGATAGATTTTACAAATTGAAATCCTAAGTCTTCTGCTATTATATGTTAAATATTCAATTCTAAATAACTAGTCTTAATCGAAAGTGCATTCCCATTGTCGGGAGGAGTAATTAATCATAGGAGTTTGTGTTGTGTAATTTAGGGTGAAATAATACAAATACAGAAGAAGAACACAAAGATTTAACGAGGTTCGGCAAAGATGCCTACATCCTCGGGAGCATAGCTGTGAATTCACTATTTCAGAAGAATTACATACCCATAGAGTTACACATCTATTTATAGATAAAACCCATAAATAAATTTACAAACACACCCTCGCTCCCCCCAACCCATTAATCTAAGAGATACACCTCTTCACACTAAGAGACACTGTTTTTCATTTCAGGAGACATACCTCTCAATTTCAAGATACTCCAAATTTCCTGGTATATGAGTCATACCTAACAGTTTATGTGTATGGGAACCTCGAACTCCATTTCAAAAAAATCCTTGCAAAACTGAAATTCATCATAGCAAATCAAAATCAAACTCAAATAAACTATCAAAAGCATGTTTGTTCTTATCTATTAATATCAAGATAAAAATATGTCATATCAAATTAAATAGAGAAAAAATAATAAAATCAAAAAAACAAATCAAAATCTCAAAACAAAAGACAAAAAAACTCAGAGTCTAACACCAGCAAAATAAATAAAAATATAAAAAATATCTCCACGTGTTAACGTTTGAATTGGAGGCTTAAAAAACATTCTACAAGTTTTCTTCTACTGATGCCTCTCAAGGACAACTTACCATTGGTTTATCAGTTTTATGTAAAAAGATTTACATACATATCCTAGAATTGTTATGTATTTTTATATCTAAAATCTATATTTTAATTTTTTTATATTTAATAATTACTTTTATGCTTTAAAAAATTGTGGTTTCACTTTTTTAAAATTAAATTAATGATATTTTTGTGCTAAAAGTTTATTTTTATATTTAGAATTGTTTTTAGGGGCATTTACATGCATGCCACCAAAATTTTTTATATTTATATATCAAACACATAAATGTTAATATCAAATAAAAATATCATTATTATATAAAGTGAAATACTAATTTTTTGCGTAAATTAATGATACAGAAGCAATAAAAATGTAAATATAAAAAAAAATTTGATGTTATTTATGTAAATAGATATTAGTCGTGTGGTATGTTGGTAAATTTTTTTTTATTATTTTTAAATCCCCAGAGAATTCTTGCCACGTCGAAACTTTAGTGGAGCAGTTCTGGAATTTGGAAAAAGGTTGTATGCATCACGAGTTGCACGTGCCACGTGAGAGCTTTTCAACTAATAAAGAAAAGTCACATAATAAAAATAAAAAAAATAAAAAAAATTGAGATTTAATATTTGTGAAATTTCATTTTGCTATTAAGGCTCCGTTTGGGGGCGGCGGTGCATTTTACCTGTGTTCTCATGCTGTGTTTTCTCGTCGGACCTGACTGCCTGCGATGATTGCCAGAAAATTACAGTTAGACTTTTTATTATTATTATTTTTTTAATAATCACCGCAACTTTTTGAATAATAGTTTTTTCTTTAATAGTTTCACAGTTGTTTCTTCAAATAGCTACAGCTGCTCCAAATAGGCCCGTAAGTCTGAGATTTGGGCAGATGATTTGCGCAGACGACTGCTATTGTTCTTGGCCCACTCAGTCTCTTATTTAAAGACTCAAGTAGAAGGGGTAATGTTATATATCCAAGGACATATACATACATATCACCCAATTCCTATGTTTATTTTATGCATTTACAAGACCCAAATCAAATGTATTTACATATCTAACACCTAAACTTTATTTTATGCATTTACAAGACCCAAATCAATCATATGACATAAAAAAAATATCACTATCTTGACTAAGGTGGCATACATATATAAATTGAAGTATAGATGTTAGATAAGTATATACATGGAAATTGAGTTGTATGCATGTAAATCTTATTATACTTATACATAGTAAAACTTAATGAGTGCAAGATGTAAAACAAATCTAAACCAGCATGTATATAATTGAGTCAGAAATTACATGGTGGGTTCAAAGTGAGAGGCAATTCCATATTGTAAATAAAACCTCACTGAGGTCCAACGAACACTCTATTAACTCAGGCAAAATCGCCTTGGTGAGCTTGGGAAACTTCTCATATTTGTCCCCACAACCAAATGTACTTCGGTTGATCAGTTTTCAGCCAGATGATCCAATTTAAGTGATAATCTGATGTATAAAGCTATTTTCATGGGCATGGAAACTTCTATTTTATATAAATTCCAAATGATCTTTTATCATCTTCTTTTGTAATTTGCAAGGATGACACATTTGGGTAGCCACTTTATCATCTTATTTTCCTCTGGCATGAGCATTTAATATTTTATGCCTAAGAAACAAAATATTGAACTATGCTATTGTTGGATTCTGATTTATCCATGAATTCACAATAGCAAGAAAAGAAATATAAAAAGAATTTGGAGCACAGAGAATAGAGGTGAAAAAAATTAGAGAGATGAGAATTAGCTTTTCCCCAATCTTGAAATCTCCCTCTATTACACTGATCATTATTAGTTATAGAGGGATTGCTTTACATATTACAAATAATACATTTATTGTACATAATTCCCAAAGAATCATTTATCCATCTTTTCTCTTGCTTCTTCTCTAAATTGTCAGGATAACACATTTTGCCAGCCATCCTATGGTGTTTCACTTCTAGTAATGCTCGTCGGCCTATTCAAACAAGAGGCTAGCTAGCAGGGCCCATCTAGTTATCTCGAGGGTTTCTACCTCAAAGTCGTGCATATACCGGTACGAGTTGATCTCCTAAAGAGGTTAGTTAAGTTGTTGGGGTCGAGTAGTGGAGGCCGACCATCTTAAGCAAACTATCCTATCGGGTTCCTGGGCCGAATTTCTTGGTCGGATTGATCTGGCCGAATTGTCTTCGTTGGCTCGACGAGTTGACTAACTTCATCCCTTAAGCCCGATCCAGAGGCTTCTTAGTATATAGCTATCAACTAAATAAGCTATTAGAAGCTCATCATCTATTTTTTTCTAGAAAAATATCCTAACAAGGGTGAAATTTTTTTTTTCTTTATTTAATATAATTTTTAAAGATTCTAACTTCCAACCTCATCTTTAGAGTTAATGGACAATATCATTAGAACCATGCCCAACAATGACCAAAATATTTTGGTTGGGCGTAAGAAAAATGCAATTTTAGTAACATTTCTTACATGGATGAATTTGCATGTCTAATTGCACTTTGGATGGATCTTCCCCTCTTCTGACTTGCGGGGGACAGTTTGCAGACGTACCTGCGACCTGGTTTGCTTCTAAAAGTTGAAGGTGGAAAAATTGAGCATCTGCAGTGATCATTGAAAATGTCATGGCCATGATATGAGCAAGATTAACATGAAGTTAGAACAATAAGTTGTATATTTTTATACGAATTCAGAACAATAGAATAGTGTTTAGGACCGCTTACAAGAGACTAAAAGTATGTACCATAAGAATAACTTCATAAATAACAAGTTCAGGAGAAGCAGTCAATTCTAGCTCGTTAAATAAGGAAAGTTACAAAATCTCATTTAAAATAAAATTTCTTGTACAGTAATCTCTCTCGGTGACCGGTGTAAACCGATCAATTTAAAAAATCGGTGTTAAAAAAAACAAAAATTCATTGAGTGTTGCACTACATTAAAAAGAACAAACCTCAGGAATTTACAGTATAATCTATTCACCATCAATTGTGCTCTTAAATCTCCTCATAGAATCTGCTGATGCACTGGAGCAAGACTGAAACAGAATCAACAAACCATATTAGAATGCAGCTAGGAAAGCTATGGCAGGGAATCAGAAAGCAAATTATACGACATATAAGGTACATTCAAATGATTTTTGGAACTTTAAGCTTGCAAAGCACTCCTAAGGAAAATTTGGTGCATGCTAAATTTGGTACAATTAAAGATTCATGCGCACCAAGTACAAAATTTCAGCAGAAATGTGTTGGTATGACTCTTGCGACCATTTTTACTCAGCAGCATACAATTGTTCATTGGCCCATTCACACATCCAAGGGAAGGATGAATTATGTAATTCAAAAATCAATAAATGTAAAAAGATTCTCCTTAATAATAAGCTTGGCGTAAAATTCAACTAATCTCCTAATTCATCAAAAGCTATATACACATAATAAGAAGCAATCTATCGTAGACAGTGCTATGACTAAAAGTGACGAGGTGAAAGGACCATATAGATTCACAAGTGTATGATTGAGCACTAAAAATGACTGGATCCAACAACACAAATAAATACAGTAAGAACATTGACAACCATCTTACATGGTAAGCCAAAAAGAGAAATGACCAAACAAGTACACCTAATTTAATTCTATGGATCAATTGAGGGTACCACCAACTTATTGCTTCAAAGAAGCTCTAGAGACACGGGTGAAGAATGTTTTCCAAAAGGACAGAAAGAGATGTCTAAATCCTGTTCGATTTCATAGTATGAGATCCACTCCACAATACCCACCTGCCAAGGCCGTCCTTAATTCATTCATGTTTACCCTCCTATTGGAACCAAACCTATTCAAAACCCAAATGTGCAAGAATATCCCCAAGAAATTTCCCGTATATGAGAACCACCCAAATGTGCAAGAATATCCCCAAGAAATTTCCCCTATATGAGAATCTCTAAAATAAAAAAAAAAAAAATTTAAAAAAAAAAAACTTTTAGCCAAACCAAATAAGAAAAAATATAAAGAATCTACAAAATATATCCTTAAAACTCCTAAATTAGCTAAATAAGCCTGCAAATTTACTTCTGAACCAAACTCACCAAGGAGCCAAAGCCATATCAATGCTATCAAACAAGCTCATTTCGAAATTCTGATGTTAGAAAGAACATGGCATGCGACCCATGACTGGGTGATTGGCCAGTTTATGATGATACCACTATATTACGTTTACAAATACATACCATATGTTTCCTAATGCCATTCATCTAAGCTTTTGGTTTTGCTTTATTTATTTGATAGGACACAAAACTTTCTATAAACTTAAGTTGGCCTAAACTTGACCGCACATTTAATTTTCACTTTTAGTCTATGAAATCCTCCAAAGAAAAAAGCAATATATAGTCGCTGACAATGATCTTTTGGTTATACTGAATAAATTACCTCTGTTAACTAAATAGAACAAAGTCAATGACTGTCTACAATCATGAAATAGTAAGATTTTGATCAATTATGCCTAAAACTCAAACCAACACTCACTAGGCAAGAAAATAAATTATCTCCATTTTGCACCAAAGAAGTCACTGCAACAACATATTAAAAGCATGTAACTGCTAGCCTTATAAAGATTCTCTCCTCCACAAATGAAGTAGTTAATTATGATAGTATAAGAAGCCTTCATTAGAAATGCAAAGCCCCGCAAGAGGATGAAATCTTTTAGTATTGTATCATTGC